CTACAGTAGCTGGCCATGTACTACACTACAGAAGCTGGCCATGTACTACAATACAGTAACTGACCATGTACTACACTACAGTAGCTGGCCATGTACTACACTACAGTAACTGGCCATGTACTACACTACAGTAACTGACCATGTACTAAACTACATTAGCTGGCCATGTACTACACTACAGTAGCTGGCCATGTACTACACTACAGTAACTGGCCATGTACTACACCACAGAAGCGGGCCATGTACTACACTACAGTAGATGGCCATGTATGACATTACAGTAGTTGGCCATGTAATACACCACAGTAACTGGCCATGTACTACACTACAGTAACTGGCCATGTACTACACTACAGTAACTGGCCATGTACTACACTACAGTAACTGGCCATGTACTACACCACAGTAGCGGGCCATGTACTACACTACAGTAGATGGCCATGTATGACATTACAGTAGTTGGCCATGTAATACACCACAGTAACTGGCCATGTACTACACTAGAGTAACTGGCCATGTACTACCATGTATGTCATAATCTGGTAAGAAACTGCAGCTATATCATCTATCTGAAATCTACATGTATCACAGTTATTCAGCAGGATGAGAGCTAATCAATACAAGAGTCATATTGCCATCACTATTCTGGTTGGACGCAACTTCATCATTCCATCTCTAGGAAACTGGGTGGGGAGGGGTGGTGATTTAGGGTCAAGTTTTATCTGTAGCCCCATCAATCAGTGTCAAGCCTAGACGTCTACATCATAATTGGTTGGCTGTGGTCTTTAGCTGTGGACCATAGCATTTCGACCCTTAGGGCACCTACATCATGTGAATGGCCATATCATACTGCCTGTAGGGCACCTACATCATACTGCCTGTAGGGCACCTACATCATGTGAATGGCCCATATCATATCGACCCTTAGGGCACCCACATCATGTGAATGGCTCATATTATACTGCCCCTAGGGCACCTATATCATGTGAATGGCCCATATCATACTGCTCCTAGGGCACCTATATCATGTGAATGGCTCATATCATACTGCCCCTAGGGCACCTACATCATTTGAATGGCCCAGAGCATACTGCCCCTAGGGCACCCACATCATACTGCCTGTAGGGCACCTACATCATGTGAATGGTCCATATTATACTGCCCCTAGGGCACCTACATCATGTGAATGGCCCATATCATACTGCCCCTAGGGCACCTACATCATGTGAATGGCCCATATCATACTGCCCCTAGGGCACCTACATCATGTGAATGGTCCATATCATACTGCCTCTAGGGCACCTACATCATACTGCCCCTAGGGCACCTACATCATGTAAATGGCCCACATCATACTGCCCCCCTAGGGCACCTACATCATGTGAATGGTCCATATCATACTGCCCCTAGGGCACCTACATCATGTGAATGGCCCATATCATACTCCCCCCAAGGGCACCTACATCATGTGAATGGTCCATATTATACTGCCCCTAGGGCACCCACATCATGTGAATGGCCCATATCATACTGCCTCTAGGGCACCCACATCATGTGAATGGCCCATATCATACTGCCCCTAGGGCACCTACATCATGTGAATGGCCCATATCATACTGCCCCTAGGGCACCTACATCATGTGAATGGTCCATATCATACTGCCCCTAGGGCACCCACATCATGTGAATGGCCCATATCATACTGCCCCTAGGGCACCTACATCATGTGAATGGTCCATATCATACTGCCCCTAGGGCACCCACATCATGTGAATGGCCCATATCATACTGCCTCTAGGGCACCTACATCATGTGAATGGCCCATATCATACTGCCCCTAGGGCACCTACATCATGTGAATGGTCCATATCATACTGCCCCTAGGGCACCCACATCATGTGAATGGCCCATATCATACTGCCTCTAGGGCACCCACATCATGTGAATGGCCCATATCATACTGCCCCTAGGGCACCTACATCATACTGCCCCTAGGGCACCTACATCATGTAAATGGCCCACATCATACTGCCCCCCTAGGGCACCTACATCATGTGAATGGTCCATATCATACTGCCCCTAGGGCACCTACATCATGTGAATGGCCCATATCATACTGCCCCTAGGGCACCTACATCATGTGAATGGTCCATATCATACTGCCTCTAGGGCACCTACATCATACTGCCCCTAGGGCACCTACATCATGTAAATGGCCCACATCATACTGCCCCCCTAGGGCACCTACATCATGTGAATGGCCCATATCATACTGCCCCTAGGGCACCTACATCATGTGAATGACCCATATCATACAGCCCCTAGGGCACCTACATCATGTGAATGGCCCATATCATACTGCCCCTCTAGGGCACCTACATCATGTGAATGGCCCATATCATACAGCCCCTAGGGCACCTACATCATGTGAATGGCCCATATCATACTGCCTCTAGGGCACCCACATCATGTGAATGGCCCATATCATACTGCCCCTAGGGCACCCACATCATGTGAATGGTCCATATCATACAGCCCCTAGGGCACCCACATCATGTGAAAGGCCCATGTTATTCTGCGTTTGAGGTCAGGTACATAATTTGACTTGCCCATATTATACTGCCCCCTAGTGCACCAACACCATGTGACTGGCCCATATCATACTGCCCCTAGGGCACCTACATCCTGTAACTTGACCACTGGACCATATCATCAATTCAATGGCCTGTATCATTCTGCCCTCTAGGGCACCTATATCATGTGACTGGCCCGTATCATACTGCCCTTTTGTCGCCCCAAGGGAAATCACTATATTAACCACAGGATTAAAAAAATTCTCATCCAATAAATCCCCCCCCCTCACAAAAAAGAAAAAATCAATGCATGAAATTAACGCTGGGTTCACCCAACCAACAGTACAGTAGGTCTGTACATTCTGATGAGATCAACCACACTTTACATACATCAAAACAGCTGATCAGCTCAAATAGGTTTTCCAGGGGGAAAGAAACAAAACGTTTCCAAAAACAATTTTTATCTGCAGTTCAATCACATTAGCAACTTCCAACAAAACTACTAGACCAATATTTATAGTTTACAACATATAAATAAAAATATTAGTTACTTTCAGCAAAAACTACACTAACTCTTCTGCAAGTGCTATATAACACGGAAAGTAATGAAATAGGCATAATTTAACTACTTGGCAGATTTAATCTAAAAGGTAATTTACTTGTTGCAAAAGGTAATGATGCATAACCCCTGTATAAACAAGAATTGTGAGCCTAAATCCTTTGTCTGACAGCTTATGTCTCTCTTCTTCTGAAAAACTCTCTCTCTCTATCTCTTATAGCTGGCTCACAACCTAGGCAGAACACAACAGGATGAAGAATAAAAGATTTCAACACCCTTAACACCGTGTGTTTCTGCCACTTTTAACATCCTCCCTCAGTGCATTGCACCATCTATTTTAGACATGAGGGTCTGTTAGGCTAAGGGATGAGCTATGGTTTCAAGGATGGGTACCAAACTCGTGGCTTTTGGGTAGCAGGTTCACATTCTACCACTAGAAAATGCCTTCTCTTCTAGTCTGAGACTTTAACATTTATGTTGAGGTGACAACTCCGGTAGCAGCTGCACCACTGCATCCCCAAATTTTGTTTCACTACAACTACAATTTTGTTTTAACCACAGCCATATTAACATACAATCAATGTAAGTTTGTAATGAACGGAAACGCAGGAAGTGAAGGGAACTAGATAAAAGCCAACACACAACTAAATCTAACTATGTACCCATAAAGAAGTTGCATTATGAACTTATAAATAAAATGAGAACAGCATTTTAAGAAACACATTAAAAAAAAACCCTGAAGGGGGGGAAAAGTCCAAAAATAAAGACTATATAATTATTATCACATTATAATAAGATAAAGGAAAAATTACAATAGAAAAATTAATACATTAACTGAATAAAGACATGGGATTTTCAAATTATATACAAATATAGAAACTTACCTTATTAATAAAAATAAAATAAAAGAGTTGTCATTTTAGAAAGACAAAAGGAAGTGTCAAAGAATTGTGAGTAATATGATAAAATTTTAGCAGTGGCTATATTTAACACTGATGATTTAATTTTTTAAAAATCAATCTGCATTTAAATGCTTTCTTTTTAACAAATTATTATTTATAAAATTCAAATAAATTATGCAGTGTCCAAGAATCTAGTGTTAGAAAAAAATGTTGCTACAACTATTGATAGCAAATGGTAATTTAGACAGTTTTCTTAAAAACTGTGGTATCTACCAATTGTATTCATATATTTATTATTACAAATTAATCATTACTTTGTAAGCTGTCTTTTTAAAAAAATGTGATATTAACTTTGAAATTAGATGTTTCACTAACTTTTTAAAACTTTATTGAAGATTGCTTTAAAAAGTACCACAAGCTTTTAAACACACATTTGCTACATTTGCTTAGTATGGATTTATTTTATTCATGCAATCTTCTTAAGAGTAAAATCTAGAAAAATAATAAATATATAATATCATTTATAATAACAAGCTATTATATAAATGCACCAAAAAATTTAAACAGAATGATTCTTCTCAAAATATAATAATGCACCTCTATATAATTATTTAAAAAGCATGTATTCAACTGCAAATAAATAATACTACTACGCAGGTTAAGCAATGGTAAGTAGTGGATTTAATTAACTTTTTCACTCACATAAAAATATAATCATAAGTAGGTTTGCTTATATTCAGAGATTTTCCAATTTTTTCCCAAACTTTTACTATAAACCTTGCCTTTATTATAGTTGTGTAAATAGTAATGCATTATTATATTAAAAGAAAATCATTTTATTTTTGTCTTTTTAGTGCTAGTTATTATAAACAGTTTTATATATTTTATATTATTTTATTTCCACTCTTAAGATTTTCCAAGGAGTTAAACAAGAAGATGATGAAATAAAAATGCAGAAAGACTTACCTAGGGTTTCCTCGTAGAGCAGCGTGGTGTAGAGCATTGAAGCCATTATTGTTGGTGATGGTGATGTCAGCAGCATGCTCAAGAAGGAGGGCTATCATATCATCTCGTTTCTTACTGATAGCATCATGCAAGGCTGTGTCCCCTTCTGAATCCTGTCAAGACAAGTATTATAAATGATTATTATTATTTTTTTAAATTTGATAAAAACTTGAAATATTTATTGTTATTTTAGCAACACAACGCAGTTGAAATCAGTTTAATCATTATTTTAGAAATAGCAGATTACAACGAAGATGTTCTTTGCTTTTTTTTAAAAACCTGTTTGTATGTTAATAAAAATGCTAAAGTGACTAGAGCATTGTGTTCCAAAAACCTAATATTTTTTTCTCTTACAAAACACAATATTGCATAATCAAACAACTTAAATTTAGACTAATTAATGACAGGCCTTTTTTCTTTTAAAAAAAACATAACTTCTTTCAACTGAAGAATTTCTTTTGTTAAAATTACAAGCTCATGATAGAAAAGCATTTTTTCTTAATGTATGAGTATTAAAAAATTCATTATTTTAATGTCATTTTTTTACTCACTTATACTAAATACACTAATAAACATTTTTAAAGCCATAGGCCTACTAGTAGTAATCAAAGGCATCTATTTAACTATTTTTAATAATGTTAAAACAATTCAATTGTTTTCTGCATTATTATAATTTAGGTTAAAAATAGCTTTAAAAATAAATCTATATTTAAATCTATATTTTTTAACTTCCAAAAGGAAAAGCAAACAGTCAGGGGAAACAACTCAACAAAAGTCTAAGAAAATTTCAGGCAATGATCTTGTAGTATTATTTATATTATATTTTGGTGTTTGATGTTGTAGCTGAGTTGGGTGTGACCAAATGATGATGAAAAATGTTTTAAAAAGTTAAAATTTTAAAGCCGACTAAGTTGTAATAAATCAAAAACTTTAAACAAAGCACAAGCAATTACCTGCAGACTCGGGTGACTTCCCAGCACCAGCAGAGAGCGTACAACACCAATATGTCCCTTATTGACACCTATGTGGAGTGGTGTTTGCCGCCTTTTGTTGCGAGCATTGAGATCAGCTCCCCCTCTGTGTAACAATTCAATCACCGCAGGTTCATCTCCAAAAGCTGCATGATGCACTGCTCTGTCACCATCTTTATCCTGAGTAAGACAAAAGAACATTTCCCAAAGTTAATATTAGAATTAACTTTAACACACCTGACAATCCATAAAATTCATCAGTAAACTGAGAATGACATGAAGCCAAAGCAAATTCAAGGTATCAAATTTGTGTATACACCTTTACAAGCATAATAAAGTTTTATTTTATGTATTCACTAGCATCTGACTATTTTGATGTTAAATTGTTTGTTTACAGTTACATAAGAGAATATCAATCTGACTAGCACAGAGTATAAAAACCTACAGCTCAGAAACCATGTGCAACTATAAAATAGAATTATTGTTATATTTCTATCAATAATTTTAGAATTTATTTATAAAAAGAGTAGGCACAATGTCCATTAACGTTTGTTTTAATCTACAACTGTAACTTACAGAAACAATGAGAGATAGTACTCAGCACAGCTCTATAAAAAACAGTTCTAGAAATTATTTTTTTTCAGAAACAATTTATGAAATGGCTTTTCTCTCAGAAAAGAGATGCTTATATATATATACTAGAATGAACCGGTCACTCAAAGTCACATTCAATACAAATCATATCTATTATCTAAATTAAAAAACTAAGAGGTGTATATTTATGTATAATTAATACTAGAACAAAAATTCTACCTCAACTTCCATGTTGACATCATGCTTAATGAGCACTTTGATAACTTCGATATGTCCATTTTGTGAGGCAGCTTGTAGGGCTGTGTGTCCAGCAAAAACTCCATTAACCTAAACACAAAGTGTCGTCATTTACAACTGTTCTATGTAGAGTAATTCATAACAGTGTTCAATACTGACTTAATATGTAGTTTTGCCCCTTCTCATACATCTTGGTTTCTTATAAGAATAATACATTTCAAAAGAATGTTAATTAGTTCACTGTTAAGATCAACTTACATCTGATTCAGGTCTCTGAAGAATCTCATCCACCTTAACTCCATCCCCATTGGCCGAAGCTTTGACTAGCTCTTCATTCACATCACCAGAAACATGAGTTTCAAAAAGTTTTTTTAACAGCGCACTCAGTCGTTCTGAAAATGTAGTCAAAGCAATTTGACTCTTTTAACAGAATAAATTTTAAAAAATGAAATAAAACTAAATTTATAAAATATTTTTTTTTAACATTTAATTCCTATATGAAATTGATTACAAATCCAAGTATTTAACATGAGCTATAATTTTTATCATTTAACACCTGTATGAAACTAAATACAGATATTTAAGATGAACTGAAATGAGTGATCCCTACCTCCTGATGAACAACTGATGGCTGCTCCATCTGCAGATGCTACCTTAGTGACAGCCAGGGGGTTGTAAGTCCATGATGTTCCACAGACTTCCACTTTAAGGTCATTGTCATGATAGATCTGTTGTACTCTGCCTATCTTTCCCAGAGTCTGTACAAAAAAAAGTATTTTAAATTGATATCTGATATATTTGATAAATAATTTTAAAATATTTAAAAAAATGAAACAATTTCAAAACGAAACAAAAAATTCAACAGAAAAGATTTTTTAAACATACACTTTACAATTATTAGAAGGCTGAAATACAGATTTTTAAAAAGATTTTTAAAATTAAAACGTGATATATCATGAATATGTAGTTCATCTTTTCCCGTTCATGCTGAATACAAATAGGGAAGATAGCGTAATGTTAATCCGCTTCAACAACCATTTCATGGACAGGGTCAGCATCAGCACTATGCTCAGCCGACCTTATTTTCTGAAATGTCAATCAGGTAGCCATTAGAGCTGAGTGTATTGAGGGACGTCTTACAGACTCAAGCTTGGGATCCAAACTCAAGACTTTAGGGTAAGCAGTCATGTGTGCTACCATCCGACTGCGCCAACCCCAAATATAAATAGTTATATGTAGTTAGCAAAAAAACATGATTTATTAACCATACCTAAGGATAGAGTTTAGCAGATTTCAAAATCATGCTGTTTTGGTTAGCAATGAAATAGCAACACAATCCCTTTTTATTAAGTAACTAGCGAAACAGCCGAGCTGTACTTCCTCAACCACACACGGGTTGACATCAAAAAACTAACATGAAATTTTTATTCTTTCTAATTTCATCCTATGAGACAAACAGCAATAATATTTCAGAAACACAACTCACAGGCATCATAGCTTCTGCCCATTCACCATGGCCTCGCTGTAGTACTTTGATCCTCTCAGCATCGCTACAGATCTGGACCAGATCCCCCACAGCAAACTGAGCTGCTGTACTTGTGTCACTGGCAATGGACGTGGAGCTGCTGGCTGTACTCACTTTAGTCAAGACTGCAGGATTAAACGTCCATCTGGGAACATTCGGAAACCCAAAGAATTAAACTTTGTATTTGAGCTAGTAACAATTCTGCACGAATATTTAATTATTTTAAACACTTGAAAACATGATTTTAAGTTATTATCGTTTAAATAAATCATTAGATTAACTGCAATGGAATATTCAGAATTATGCATGAAACATAGCTATTTAACAAATTATGTTAAAAGATTGTCAAAAATCTACAATTACTCTTTGCAAACATTATTGGTTTAAAAATAAAAACCAGCTGAATTGAACAAGTGCTAAAGAATATAAAGTACCTGTTTCCACTTGGATAAGAAACAACAATATCATGATCCTCATCAATGCCCACCACAGTGCCAGTTGTTCCTAGACACTGTTGATAAAAAAATATTGTGTGTTTAGTGTGTTTAGTTTCACAAGTCCAATTTTCATGAATTAAGGATATATATATATATATATATATATATATATATATATATATATATATATATATATATATATATATATATATATATATATATATATATAAAATTAAAATAATAATAAACAGAGTAAACAACATACCTCAAACATTCCATCAGTCCAGCCGCCATGTCCATGCTGCAAGGACTGCACTATTTCCAAGTCCAGGTCTACATTTACCTGGTCTCCGATAGCAAGACCACATGGGCCAGACCTTGACCCAGGACCTTGTTCCCCTGAGAAAATATGTATTTTATGTGCTTTACATAGGGAAAATCTGTGGGATGGCTTGGTTGATTACTAGAGTGCTAGCCTGAATATTTTGAGTTCAGATCTCAGTTCTGACTAGAGACTGTAGGACACCCCTAAGTCTACCCAGGTGTGATGGGTACCTGACTCAAGTAAGGGAAAGTAAAGGAGTAAAATAATTTTGTTCTAAAAGCCTTATCAATGAGATGGCTTGAACAAGCCATTAAGCGCAAGATTATTATCCTGAAGTCTTAACTTTGTTTTGCTGTCTTGAGTCTGTGTGATGTTTGCTAGTTCACCTTGAAAAATACCTGCCTTCAGTCAAGCTAAGTAAAGGTGGCTAGAGACAGTGTTCATCACACTATCCCTTTATAATCTGAGTCAGAGATACAGATAAACTGCGCTTCACTTGACCTTTGGACCATCTGGTCTCAAAGAGTAGTACCTTTTACACACTTCATCAATTTGGCTTAAAAATAACATACCTAATAAGGGCAAATGGTCTCTGTAAAAAGATCCTCCTTTAGCATCATTCATAACTTTTAAATCAGCCTAGGATTGAAAGAATAAGCATATAAAAAATAGTGAAAATTATTTCATGATTTATTTAAATGTTACATATGTGGTCCTGTATTCTCTAAACTAATTGCACACATGCTGCATGCCTGATAGGTTTATTCTTCTCACTCAACAGGTATTTGTAATACAACTTACCATCCCCTCAAAGCCCACTCTATAGAGATTTTTAGCTCCATTATCCCACAGAACATGAGCAGCACTTCGAGGACTTGCAGCACTCCAGTCCTTAAATAATAGATCAATGTTTAAACATTTAGAATGCTTTCTACAATACAGCAATTAAAAAAAATTGTGCTTTAAAAACAATTTAAAAAATTAGTACACGCTCATTTGCCCAAACTATATGATGTATAATTTTAAACAAAATCCCCAAAGCAATGTAGAAGGCTAGGTTTGAAGTAGATTACAAAGTTTTAAGGTGGAACTATTTCTAATTAGGGGAGAGGGGATTTAATTTCTAGACCATTCTGTTCTAACACTTATTTTTAAAAAATGTTAGCTCGTCAGATATATCATTTTATTTCACAATAAAAACAATCTGGCCATGAAAAGATAATTCACCTTTAAGAAAATAATAAACTTACTAAAAAAAAAGCTAAAAACCTAACTTAACGAACTAACCTGTATTTCAGTAACTTTTCCTCTTCTTCCATTTCCACCATCTTGATCCTCCCATTGCCAATCAACTCCTCTGACTACTCTAGCGCCAGGGAAAATACCCCGGGCTGTAATTTTTTTACTTTTTCTTCTTGGTTCTATAAGAATTCTGAAAAAAATAATTAGAAAATAACATTATTCATTTTTTTAACCAAACAATTCTAACACTAGTGGCTAAAAAATGTTTTGTATGAATAGGTCTAGAATTTGAGTTTCTATTTATTGCAATATTTAAAATAAAAATGTATATTTCTTTTCTTTTTATACAAGCTAGGCTCTTTTAGTATTTCAAATATAATATATCCATTAATTTTTTAATATAATTAGGTTTGAGTAATATTGTTCAAAATATAATATTTTGGCTACAAGCACAAAATTAAGTAGCAAACCTTTCATTTCCTGGGTTTGCTATCCTGTAAAATCTGTGTCGCATGTTATGTTTATCCCCATGGTAGCACACAGAGCATAAATCAAAGTTTTGACATTCTGCACATTTCCACCGAATTCCAAATATAGGCTGTTGTCTACATGTGTCACACATTGTACCATCATGTTTAATTCCTGAAACAAAGTTATATTGTTTGATAAAAATGTAAGAAACACATTTATCCAAATCTTGTTTCAATTAACATAACTTTTATTCACTTTTTTGCTTTGCCTTAAAATTTAAAAATACTGAATAATAAAAGGAATATTGTTGAAAATAATTTTGGGATTGATTTTTTTGTCAATGCTGATTTATTTTTTAACATTAAAATAAAAATATGCGTTACTGAATTCCTGTAGATAGTCACCAGTACACTACTACATAGTCAAATGGTCTACGAAATAGTGCTGTTAACACAACAAATCACATCAAAAGGTCAATTATTTTTACCTAAGCCACAGTCAACAAAATGGTGTTTCAAGAAAAAAGTGTCACCTCTGATTATCAAATCAATAGCCTAAATAAATTCTGGCAATGTTTCAATATAATTAGATAGAGATTTGCAGGCAACATTAATAATTTATTGTATTGGTTTAGTTAAAGTTTACAAGTGTTCTTCTTCTTTGTTCTTAACTGTAATGTTGGACAGGATTTCCTCCAACACAATAAAGTATTTTTATTATTTGCCATACAGTACATTGACTCTGATTTGATATTTCAGCCTGTTTTTTTTTCTGGATGTGCTACCACAGACTTCGACCATCCAAAAACTAACTTCAAATTGATTTTTGAGTTTTCTCTCCTAGCTAGGTTGCAGCTATAGAGCCTCGTCTGCCCAGGCCCAGGTCTTTTCCATGAGTTTTACCGGCATAATCATGCCAACCCCCTTTTAAAGGCTTTTAATGGTCTACCATACTATTTTGCCTAAATACTAGGCCATATAAAATACTTAATAACTTTAAAACTTATCTGAATACTTATGATTTATGATAATATTTAACAAACCTGTTGGAGCACTGTCCAGCACTGAATACTTATGATAATATTTAACAAACCTGTTGGAGCACTGTCCAGCACTCTCAAATCGTAAGCTCCTGCACATCTATAATTTGCTGCTGTTCCATTATCCCAGACAACAACGACTTCTTCAGGTGATTCGAAATTTCGAACAGTACCTATATGTCCTTCTCCCCCGTCTTGTTTACCCCACTTCCAGTCAGGTCCCCTAACAACTCGAGCTCCAACTCCTTCCATAACGTTGATTCTAACACTTCGTGTGTTTGTTGTATTGCTGGTGCTTGTACTGCTACTGCTAGCACCAGGATCAATAGTTAAAACAGAAGACATAGCTGTCTCCGACCTGAGACTCTCAGATCGGTTCATTTTAAGTAAATTAAATATATACTGATTTATTAGAGTAAGTTATACTTTTATTTCTAATATTTTTTTGACAAAGTATAGATGTCTAGAATGTTTGTGTTGACTGTCTCTCTCCACTTCCGCGAGACAGATTCAGGTTCGATAAACCAGTTAAAAAGAGCAAGTATATCGGTGTATTAAAAAGCAAACTATATTATAACTTTATAATTACTTTTGCATTTGACTCTTTGGATCTATTTTTGTCCACATAAGCTAGTTTGACGTAAAATGATTCCTCGCTTTAAATAACAGTAATAGATCTATATTTATAAGCTATTATTCTTAAGATTGCTAAAACTAAATTGACCAGAAGTTGCATTTAACTAATAATTATCTCTGGCATAGTCTCTATAGGCACGCATGAACTACAATGATCACGGGCGGCGTCAGCTGGGGAAAATAATCCAATATTAATGTTAGATCTAGTAAAGTTAAGTATATTGTGATTTTTTTCACTTAATTTGTTGAGACGGCTTCGAATGATACAACATATTTAACATGTTTTTCGCAAGCTTGTTCCAAAAGGAATTTATGCTGTGTATCAGGCGTTCTTCTCTGGGAAGGGGGAGTGCTTGGAATGAACAGGTTAAAGCCACGCCTTACATACCCCCCCCCCCCCCATCAATTATCAATTTTTTTTCTAACTTCGATTTCTTTCCAAAATATTGACAATATTAGAAGTTAAAAAAAAACAATTTTTAAATAACTGCTAACAAATTTTTTTTCTAGCGTTACTTATAATAAATACTAAAGTGTGACGCCACGTTATCTGATTCCTCACCTACCCTTCATCACACATCGTCACAAAATTACTCACTCTCTGCCTCCTTAGGGGTTCATACACGTCACGCTTTTTTGACGAATTTTACCCCACCCCCCTCCGTCACACATCGTCACAAAAAGCCAGACCCCTAAAATGACGTCACATCTCAGCCTATACCACCCCCCCCCCCCCCGCGCTCAAAATTGCAGTTGAATTTTTCTTAAAAGAACGATATTTTATCCAAAATCTTGTCTGAACTCTGTCAACATAAAGTATTTTAATCCATTCCTATTACAATTTATTAAAACAGTTTTCTATAAGCGCGAAATAACGGATACAATTCGTTTTCTAACATTGTTTTTTATAATGCAAAAATGTGGCGTCAAGCCACCTGACCCCCCCCCCCCTCATCACACACCGTCACAAAATTACGGCCCCCCCCCCCACCTCGCTACGAGTGTGACGTCATTTATGACGACCTCTTGGGGGGGAGACGTCATTTATCAACGAACCCCTCTGTTATGTGATGACTCTTGCTCTGGAGCTTATTTTCCTAGTATAAACGTTGAGCTAGCTCTGACATTGACATTTTTTAAAAATTATATAATTAAAAACTAAAAAGCTGAAATTCGCATACAATATCAAAACAAGAAAGGTCGTTTCCGGTGACGAATGACCCTAAGTTTCAAGTCGTAAGAAACCACTTTTATTAGTAATTTCACATGGTCTCTAAACTTGGGCTGCTTCTTAAATTAAATTAATTTAGGGACTTAATTTAAAATATCAAGATTTCTAAGGCTAAGGGATGAATGAAGATACCGTTGTCCGATTAAAATTTGTTGTTTTTAGTAGTAGATTCTAGAAGTATGGCTCGCTAGCAATCTCGGGTAATCTATTCTATCGTTTTGGGTACGTAAAATCGCCCGCGATTTGTAATGTGAAAAACAGGTGACTCCTTAAATTTTAATAATTATTTCACATTTTGAGGAGGGTTTATGTTTTTTAAAATACAAAAATGTTTCCTTGATTCATTTATGTACCTGTTTTTAAACAATTGAATTAAAACTTTTCCGTAATAAATGAAGACTAGCGATGTTTCCAACAGATGCAACCATGCTCATTTACTATAGCAGCTATCTTGTCTAAGTTTTATTTTTATAAGCTTATAGTGCCAGATTCAGGGGGTAGCCACTCTATTTTACAAATGGCTGCTGTTTATATAGCAAATCTTGCTCTCAGACACTGCTGTTTAAAGTTAATTTCTGGCCTATATCGTAGGCATTTCGACTTCCGCTGTTTCGATTCGGTACGACCACATCCTGACTTTTTCATCGTACTTGTTGAAATTCGCCATTTTTTAACATGTTAATTCTCGCCATCGGAATCGAAGAATAAAATGTATTCGATGTGAATATTTGAGTTGAATTTCATCTTTTATACATACTAATAAATGAATTAGCTCCCGTTTTACATTGTCCGATACCGAAAGCGATCACCGATAATAGCAAATATTTGTCGAAATGCCGGCGCTACCGAACTGGCGCATTGACAACTAAATTTCAGATATAAATAATCCTTTAAGTTGCATGAAAATAGGCTTAAATAGCATGCCAACCATTTGGATAAATAGAAATGTTGATTTGAAGGGTTTTTAAGCACGGGCCAATGAGGAGTAGCGCGATAAAACTCGTAGGGGTAGGAACGAGAAAGCGTGCGTAATTTCATAATGGCGGCCGGGTTACGAGATATTAATAGAAATGCGCATACGATGTTTTTTAATAGCTGTTTTTTTTTAAATGGACTGTTACAATAAAATGGGCTTTAATTTACTTTAAAATAAATATACTGTAGATCTAAATTATTAGATTAAGAATGGAAAGAATGTAATTAGGCCTAATTGCTGCCTAAATAAATTATAAAATTTTAAATTAGCCAGATTTTTATTAACCTTCTTAATACCAGGTTAACTAGATCTAGCAAACTAGCATTGACGAATTGTAGATAAATAGATAGATTATAAATAAAGGCATTTTCAAGTAGAAAAAATCTATATTTATTGTAAACAGTTTAAAAAAAAAAATAGAATCTAGATCTAGATGGAAATGAAAACACTAAAACAATAATGGGTCTAGAGATGTGTAATAATATATATATATATATATATATAAACTATTAGGCCTTAATGTAAATACTGACAGGCCTATCTGTAGTATCTAGATCTATAAAGTACTATAAAGGGCCTAAATTAAAAATAATAATGCCCAATTTTATAAGCTGCACTGCATTACAGTTTTAGTTATAGGCAACTATAATAGAAAGAAAACATGAACACTTTAATTAATGTCATTTAAGAATTTATCAAAGGATACGTCAACTTCACTAGACATTTTATAAATAAGAATACTGTGAAATGTCAATCTTTGAGTTTTAGCACACCTCAACACTTTTCATCAGAAACATTACAAGAACCAAAATTTTCTAAATTAATAATAACATTTTTACCATGTTATACACAGACACAAATCCAATGTTTATGGTAAATCGTTAAGTATCTTGATCATATTGTGCTGTATTTGACTTATAAGTTCTAACTCTATACATTACCTGTACAATATGTATACTAGCATTCTTATTACTAACACCAGAATCAATATGTAAAGTTTAATCTTTATTTTTATAGTAGCAACAAAGAAGTGCAACATATTAGCCTGTAGTTAATCATCATAGTCTAATTGCGCTGTACCATATTCAAGTTCACTATTTATAGTTTTCCTCTAGCTATGTTTATTTTACTTGCATGATTGTATTTTTTACATGCTCTAGTCCTAATATATAAAGTTTCATGATGCTATATGGAATAGCAACCTACCTGTACAGTCTGGAAATCCTCTTATGGCAGTCACTATAGAACAGTGCCACACCCCTTAATTTAACTTCATAATTTCTAGTTACCTCTTTTCTAATTTTTATTTTATTTGTAGACTTCTATTGCCTATATCATTGAGTACAAATGTGCAAAGTTTTATCATTATATCTTTAATAGCAACAGTGGTATGCAAGTTTAAAGCCAATCACACGTCTGGAATGCAGGTTACAATGAAACATAACAAGTTAAACACATAACTTTGAAAATTCATATAAAAAAAAACTATTAGGCCTAGAATGATAAATTTGATATTTTTATCAATGGGGTATATTATAGGATTAATCTGGGTCCATTTTATCATTATATGATAATTAGGAAAAATTTCCCAACAATATCGATATATTTAGCCATTGATTTAGGTTTATTATTCATTTATCTATAATATTTGACACAAACATATGACAATATAATTCTATTAAAGCCTTGACAATGAGGTAACGTTTTTGTACATAAATAGCCGCGGGCGATTTTACTTACCCAAAACGATAGATTACCCAATCTCGAGAAGATTGAGATTTATAAAAAAAAATTGTTTTAGGGCCTAGATCTATGTTATTTCTATATTTAATATTTATAGAATCTAGTAGTAGACCTATTACTAGTACAGGCCTAATATATTATTAAGTTATAAATAAATAAAATAGGCCTATTGATTATTTTATTTAGCCTATACCATTAAGTATTAGACCTACTCCTACTATTAGTTAAAAGTTATTAATATTATTAGGGCTTAGGGTAATCGATCAAGACTTGTAATGTGAAAAACAGGTGACTCCTTAAATTTTAATAATTATTTCACATTTTGAGGAGGATTTATGTTTTGAAAAATACAAAAATGTTTCCTTGTTTCATTTATGTACCTGTTTTTGATCAATTGAATTAAAACTTTTCAATAATAAATGAAGACTAGCGATGTTTCCAAAAGATGCAACCATGCTCATTTACTATAGCAGCCATCTTGTTTATTTTTTTAAATTGTAAAATTATAGCGCAAGATTCAGGGGAAGCCACTCTAACTTACAAATGGCCTCTTTTTATATAGCAAATCCTGCTCGCAAACAGTCACTGCTGTTTAAAGTTAATTTCTGGCCAATATTGATATATTTAGCCATTGATTTAGGTTTATTATTTATTTATCTATAATATTTGACACAAATATATCACAATATACTTCTATTAAAGCCTTGACAATGAGGTCACTTTTTTGTACATTACTACGATTTTACGTACCTAAAACTATAGATTACCAATATTAGTAGATAACAATAACTGGGAATCTATCTTTTTAGGTACGTAAAAAACGTTTTCTACTTTTGGTTATTCACATACAAGTAAAAGATCTTATACTCAGCCTGCTGTCAAATTTTGAGCATTTTCCATTCAATGGAAGCAGAAATTTA